AAGCTTGGTGGATATAGAACCACAAGAATTACTGGACCACAACATTTTTCACCGGCTGACAAAGAATGAAGAGGCCCTCAGAAAAAAAGTGACAAGTCTAATTCAGCCTTCCATCCTTCTGAGGTTGGTAAAGTGAGTAGTAGCTTGCTACGTGAGGTGGGGGCAAATGTGTAGCCTGCATAATCAATTTGTGAACCATCCAGAAAGTGCTTTAAGTGCTATGGGGTGGTATATAAGCAGCACACTTTGCTTTGCTTTTTTTATGAACCAATTCCTCACACAAGGCAGCATTTTATGATTCTGTTTATGTGAATGACTCTCTCACCTGAGTGGCTGCTAGCCATGCTTACACTTCCATCAGATCCCTGGTCCCCTGGCCTGTCTTCTTCTTCTTCTTCCTGCTTTATTGTAATGTTAGAAAAACCTGAATTGAGAGGAACAGGCAAGAAAAGGTGGTCAGCAGGACTGCAGTTGTGTCTCAATGAACTGGCTACAACTATCAGCTTCAGAGAATTACGCTACATTAACATAGGAAGGTACCCCCTCCTGTGCTGTTAGAGCAGTACGACAACGGAACCCATTGCCTCAGGAGGTGGTGAGTGCTCCAATAATGGAGGCATTCAAGACAAAACTGGACAACTATCTGTCAGACCTGCTTTGACTCGGGATCCCTGCCTTGAGCAGGAGGTTGGATTCGATGGCCTTATAAGCCCCTTCCAACTCAGCTATCCTATCCTCCTCTTGTGTAACTATTCAAGAGATTTAAAAAAAACTGTTCACAAGATTTTAAAAAATTGTTAAACCCTTATTGCTGGAAGTACTTTGAAAACAGCAGAGAGCAAACAGAGCCTTCCATCCTAGAGAGAAGGGCAGGAGAGGGGATGCCTTTACTAAGAGGAATGCCTTCTTCGACATGTTTGTGCATCGTCTGGACACAAAGAAAGTTGAGGGGTTTTTTGCCTTCTTTCTTTGCAGTCGCTGGAACCAGCTGTATTGGCTCTTGCCTTTCCATTGGACTATTTCAGTGATGTGGAGAGGGGGAATCTGCTGCTTGGGTAACAGACTATCCTCCCCATAGTCTATTGAAACTGAAGGATGCCTATATTATTTGCCTTAGGAAGAAGCATACAGAATACCAGAAAGCAAGAACAAATTACTTTCTTTACCCAGCATGTCGTTAGTCTATGGAACTCCTTGCCACAGGATGTGGTGATGGCATTTGGCCTTGATGCCTTTAAAAGGGGATTGGACAGATTTCTGGAGGAAAAGGTCATAGCAGGTTACAAGCCATGATGATGGGGATGTATAATCTCCAGGCTTAAAAGGAAGGTACCTTCAAATGCCAGATGCAGGGGAGGGGCATCAGGAGACGGGTATCCAGTGGTCTCGTGTGCTCCCAGAGGATCTGGTGGGGCTCCTGTGAAATACAGGAAGCTGGACTAGGCCTTTGGCTTGATCCACCTGTACTTGTAAAAAACTGACATTCCATATTCTAGTTTAATGCAAGTACATAATTACGATTGCTTGTGGTTTTGTTCCCTTACCTGTGTTGTCCTCCAACATAACCTCCATTTTTCCTAAAATGAGATGATGGGAACCGGGGTGGGCCTCGCTCAATCCACAAACTCCTAGTAAGGATTGAAGAGTAGAAATCCTACTGAAGAATTTATAGAGAAAAAAAGGAAAAGAAACAAGAAAACATTCAATTGTGATTAAGATTTGTAATAGACAAGTATATGCTAATAGTCCTCTCCATGGGAACCTGGTACCCTATTTAATATTATGTTTAAATTAAAAAAAAGTAGCTTGACACTGTTTTTTTTTAATTAAACATAATTTTATGGCTTTAATATTTCATGATGTTTTTACTGGCCATACAGCATGTGCTCATTCTATTTCAAATGGTTTGAAACTGCTCAGTGGTTTAAAGCACTGGTTCTTAACCTTGGGTTACTCAGGAGTTTTGGACTGCAACTCCCAGAAGCCTTCACCACCAACTGTGCTGGCTGGGGTTTCTGGGAGTTGCAGTTCAAAAACATCCGAGTAACAAAGGTTAAGAACCATTGGTTTAAAGCAGTGGTCCCCAACCTTGGGCCTCTAGATGTTCTTGGACTGCAACTCCCAGAAGCCTTCACTTCCACTTCTGCTGGCCAGGATTTCTGGGAGTTGAAGTCCAAGAACATCTGGAGGCCCAAGGTTGGGGACCACTGGTTTAAAGTATCTGGCTGCAGAGCCAGAGGTTGGGAGTTCAATTCCCCACCGAGCCTCCTTGACAGGGGCTGGACTCCATAACCCATAGGGTCCCTTCCAGCTCTGCAGTTCTGACGTTGTTGTTGTTGTTATCCTCTTCCTTTGTCACCAGCTTGCCTCACATTGCCAGCTGGATTCCTCACCACACACAGACCCACCCCTTGCCTGCTTCAGCCCCTCCTGAAGTGCTGCCTAGACAGAGAGAGGGAGCCACGCCACACGTCCTTAGCTAGTCACCGGAAGAAAACCCTACACAGCAGTGCTTCCTAAACTTGGCTCCCCAGATGTTCTTGGACTACAACTCCCAGAAGCCTTCGCCACTCGCTGTGCTGGCCAAGATTTCTGGGAGTTGTAGTCCAAGGACATCTGGGGACCCAAGCCTGGGAAACACTCCTGTACACAGAGTGGGTGGTGGGAAACCCACTGCCACCAGCCCATAAACACACCTTTAGGAGTCGGTGGGACTTTGCACTCTTTGCACTCGCAGCCCGGCTCCCAGTGGCTCCGAGAAATCCGCCTGTCTCGACACCTCCTTCTCCCGTCCTTCTTCCCAGCAAAATGGCCCGTTCAGACGTTTCCCCGGCCAGGAAACCCACCCTCCGATTTTCCTCCCCACCGGGCAATCCCGTTTCTCCTCCACCTCGATCTTGCATCCGTGCCTTTCCCTTCTCCTTCGCGACTCCCAGGAGCCCTGCTCCGGCCTCTGCCCGTCGCTCGCCAAAGGTCCCCCACGATCCCCACTTTTCCTCCTGTTATCTGGATTTCAATTTGTGACGTTTCCTCGTCACGTGACTGAAGCCACGCCAGATTCCTGGCAAGACAAACCCATCCGGATTCGTCTGTTCCCCACCCACCTTCCCGTCTTTGGCGGGGGGCGTATTAAGCCTCCTCCTGCTTAATACTGTATCCTTTGGTGGTCGTGCGTAGCCTTCGCGACTCCCAGGGGTGAATTCTCTCCGAAAGGTCTGATCCGTAACAGTCCAGCTCAGGTCTTGCAAAGGCAAGGCCGTAGTTTCCTTTGTGGAGTCACTCCATCTCATACCTGTGCTTGTCCTCGTTTCCTAACGCCTTCTGCTTACGATCTTTTGCCAGGGAATTTTGTTTTTCTCACCGTATCTCCGAAGTACTATAGCCCCTGTTCAGATATTTTTTAGCTTCTAGTGAGAGTGCAGACTTGGTTTGATCTAGAATGTTTGTTTGTTTGTTTAAAATATTTTTCTCCTGACTTTCTCCTTGAAAAAGGACCCAAGGGTTGCTTACAACAGTGAAATAAAGTAGAAAACAATGAATATACAATGGTGGTTAACATCCTGAAAAAAGCAATATTTAAAGCAGAGAGCAATGAGTAAAGAGGCATCTTACATCATCAAAAGCCAATATTAAAGCTGACAGCAGAAAATACACAATTAAAAAACACCAATGCCACTCTGAGAAATGTAAGACCACTCTAGGCGGCTTCCAATATACAGTAGTGCAAACAATAAAATAGTACAGAAATACATAAATTATACTATGAGAAATAGAATACAAAGATAGAATAGAAAATAAATGAAAGGAGAATAAACAGAAAATCAGGTATTAGCTGGAGGGAAGGCCTGAATGTATAGCCATGTTTTAATTGAGTTTTAAAAGTGCCCAGAGTGGGGGCCACGCAAATCTCAGGAGGGAGATTGTTCCAGAGGCGAGGAGCCACCGCCGAGAAGGCCCGATTACGTGTCTTTTCCTTCCGGGCCTCTCTCTCTTGGTTTGATCTAGAATGTTTGTTTGTTTAAAATATTTTTCCCCCTGACTTTCTCCTTGGAAAAGGACTGAAGGGTTGCTTACAACAGTGAAGTAAAGCAGAGTGAATATACAATGGTGACTATACAAATGGTGGTTAATGAATATACAATGGTGGTTCACATTCTGAAAAGGCAATGTTTAAAGCAAAGAACAATGAGTAAAGAGGCATCTTACATCATTAAAAGCCAATATTAATGCTGACAACAGTAAATATACAATTAAAAAGAAAGTAAAACCAATGCCACTCTGAGAAATGGAATACGCAAAAAATGGAAAACACAAGTAGTACTAGAAATCCAATCAAAGCATTAATGCATAACAATCCATCTAAAAAAATCACACACAAATAGAACCCATTTGTTTTTCCTTCTGAGTGTTCAAAATAGTTCGAATCTTATCATCTTGGAACTGAAAGGAGCTGGAAGGGACCCTATGAAACATCAGGTCCAGCCTCTGTCATGGAGGCCCAGTGTGGGAATCGAACTCCAAACCTCTGGCTTCACAGTCAGAGACCCAAACCACTGGGCATAATTCATTACTCAGTCTAACAGATGCTGAGTGAATACTCATGCACTCAGAGTAGACAGAGATAGGCCAGCTTCCAGTGAGGCTCAGATGCTTCAGAGGTAAAAGATAACTAGGGCAGGGGGAACTCATATTTGCTGGCCCATGGCATTACAGGTTTAAGCCTGCAAGAGCAATGACGGCATGGATATAAAGTTGACAGGAAGCATAATTTCCTCCACAACACAACCTCATTTCTGATCACAAGTCTACTCTCTTAAGCTGTTCTCCTTCATTTACAAATTTCTGTCTTTATCTCGCAAAAGTCAACATGGTAAAGCCTCAGCTCTGAGCTTAACCCGACAGGGTTTTGTTTCTTATCATTGAATGCAATCGTTCTTCTAGTAATGTATATATGGACAAACATTTTTTAATATATTTGTATACTTCCTCTGGGTGTATTGTTTTCTGATTACGTTCTGATGTGTTTACATTCAGGCCCTAAATAGCATTTCACTTTAGAGTCTGAGAGGATGGTTAAGAGGCTCTGGTTATTATCGGACAAAAAACTCCAAGGGGCAAAATATTATGGCACCTTAAAGATTAATTGCTATATTTTTAAGCCGAGCTTTTGTGGATCAAGTCCACTTCCTCAGATTTGATCTATGTAATTGGATTGCCTTAAAATGCTGCAGAGCAGTTAGTCTTTAAAATGCCAAATTTTTGTCTCCTCTTGATTGTTTTTATTTCTCTTTGTCTGATAAGCTTACATAAACTTAATATGTCTGCTTCTGGTCATCTATCTTATTTACCTTGTTTAGAAGCCTTTATTCTATGCTTCTGGATGAAATAATAATAATAATACAAAAATCCATCATGCCTCCTTTTCTTGTACCCTGGAAAATGGCCACAACAGACGGGAAAAATAGCCACATAATTTAAATCAATCTATCTATCTATCTATCTATCTATCTATCTATCTATCTATCTATCTATCTATCTATCTATCTATCTATCTATCTATCAAATCTGACTTGATTTTTTGGTGTCTTGCTTTTCCTGTAGAAACACAAATTCAAGGCATGGACACTTGAAGATGATCTTTGTACGTTTAGCAGGAAATAATAAAAATAAAACAACCAGCGCCTATAAGCAAAGCTTTTAAACAACTCCCCACCCTTTCCCCTGATCCATGTGCACCGGGAGCAGATGGTATGGGCTTTGAGTCTTGTTCGCCAGGAGACTGGCCTGGCTTCAGTCACGTGACGGGAAGTGGAGCACAAGCTTGCCTCCTGATTTAAAAAAAAAAAAGATACAGAGGGTTAAAAAAAAGAAGAAGCCAGTGCAGAATGTTAAAAATAAAATAAAATTCAGTGGGGTGCTTCTGAACTACAAATCTGCGTCAGAACACCGATTTTTTTTTTTTTTTTGGAAATCATGAGACAGGTAAGGATGGGCGTTGCCAGTGGGGAAATGAATTGGAAAAGAAAGATTCAGCTGGAACAACAAAAAGATGTAGGTTTGGAGGGAGGAGGAAAGAAGAGTAGAGCCATTTCTGGACAGGGGGAAAAAGTGAGCAGAGAGCTCTCCTCGTGAAAAAGGAGGGCACTAACTAGCTTGGGAAGCTGAGGCCAAACCCTATATTTTTCAGAGGGGTTTGGGAAAAATGCTGCCTCCAATGACAGTCTGAAATGTAGATCCTGCCTATTCCTTTGTCTTAGTGGTTCTCTGCCTGCAATTCTTCTGAAGCCTGTATGAAATGGTTAGCAGAAGTGAACCTTTTTCCCACCATGGGAAAACTGTTCCCTCTTTCAAGCTCCTTTTGAGTTTTGGCTTCTCTGTTTTCGCTCTAAAAGGCACATAAGACAGGATGTTGGCATAGACCAGCCATTCTCAATTGGGGTGGTGGTGCTGGTCCATAGGGTCTGGGGGGGACTGGCACATTTTAAGGGGGCCACAGACCCCCCCTTCTTCACACATCCACCTTCTAGGGGTTTGTCATGCAACTTACACAATCTTGAGTCCGTCCTATATTTCTTTCATATTGTGTTTCTGGCCGTGGCAAAAAAAAAGAGGTCAAGAATGGCTGGCATAGACAACCGAGGTGAAAGCAGAGTTAGGTTAACAACGAAAGAGGTTGATATGCTGCTTTCTTGCTTTGCCCTTTTCCCCAGTTACTCTGAAAATTTGAGGACAGTTCAGCATCACTTTTGAGCCAGCAGGAAGAAAACTGTGTAGTGTTGTTTTTGTGTGTGAGTGAATAATTTGCCTGACTGAACTTGTGACCTATAGAAGGGAATCTGTGGCTCTCTGGAGCTTGCTAATTTCTAAGTATGGACATTTTTATTAAGCTGTTTGAAAAATCAATACATAAAGAAGGCTTTGGTGTGTACGTCAGGGCTGTTCTTATTCCTTCAATTTTTAAAAAAATACAATTATAGAAATAAAACTTAGATGGTACATTGTTGTTGTTGTTTGGTCACTAAGTTGTATCAGACTCTTTGTGACCCCACGGACCAGAGCACGCCAGGCCCTCCTGTCTTCCACTGCCTCCCGGAGTTGGGTCAACTTCATGTTGGTCGCTTTGATGACACTGTCCAGGCGCCTCCTCCTCTGTCGTCCCCTTCTCCTCTTGCCTTCACACTTTCCCAACATCAGGGTCTTTTCCAGGGACTCTTCTCTTCTCATGAGATGGCCATTCCTTTAGAATGGATAGGTTTGTTCTCCTTGCAGTCCAGGGGACTCTCAAGAGCCTCCTCCAGCACCACAATTCACAACAAGGATGGTTGATCTACTGGGGAATACTGAAATTTACAGTTTGGCTTATGCTAAGGAATAAGATTTTGGCCACTACGTTTCCTTCAGAATGTTCTAGATTCCGATTCCCTCCTCCCCACTATAGATTGAAGGAAATGTTTCAATTGGAAATCGCCATGTCCCTATGAGTGACTCTGCAGAGATGGTCTGTCTTGAGAAAAATATTGGCTTGATAGGCTCATACACTTCGGTTCGCTTACAGCTCCATACTTTAAAACCTAAATCCCACCAGAATGCTTTGCTTTATCATGATTCCTTTTTTTAAATCTTCTTAGGCAGGTTTTTCTGCTCATGAAGGCTGATTTGATGCCCTGACTTTAGAACATCCATGGTTTCTAGATCAGTTCGTGTTGAAGAAAATGGAGGTTACATTTCAGCACAACACAGGTGAGCGAGGGCACAAAACCAGAAGTTACGAGAATTGTACATTTCCACTGTAAAAAGAAACAAGGTCAAAAATTCAGCAAGGCTCAAAGACTCATTTTTATATGCTGTTTTAGTGGTGTATTGAATGTATGCCCACCCTGATTTTGAATATTTGCATTAAACTATAGAGCAATGGCAGAGAAGGTATAGTCCTCTAGCTTTTATTGGAACTGCAACTCCCAGTAAAGGGAGATGGCAGTTGTTGGCCAACAACATCTCGAGGGCCATACATTTTGCACCCCTGCTTTGAAGATTTGCTGCCAAAATCCAGTTGCCTCCTTCTCTGG